TCCGAAGCTGCGTGTGTGTTTGCGAGTTGCTGTCAGCACAGGTACGGCATGTTCTTTTTAAATGTCTGAGCTCTTCTGCTTTGGCAGAATGAGAGATGTAGAGTGGGAGGGAGCTGTCAGTGTAGGGACATTTAACGGGTGGGAGGTGTGTGTGTGTGTGTGTGTGTGTATTTGTTTCAGGGTTGCCCAGTATGAGGGGATTAACCCTGTGGGAGTTTGCACTCTCATGTGTAGCCAACTGTGCTGTCTGCTACAGCTTCACACACACACACACACACACACACACACACACACACACACACACACACACACACAGACAGACTTTGCGTTCAGTCCGTCACATCCACAAGCCTTCGTGTGTACATTCACACGTAATCTGGATCTGTCTGTCTCTGTTTCTTTGTTTCAGCTTCACACACACACACACACACACACACACACACACACACACACACACACACACACACGCGCGTCGTTTCCAGCACCGAGGGGTCTGTGCAGATCGTGTTGTTGTGACACAGACAGACTACTGAGCGACCTTTAAGTTGAGGCCACGTGGCTGGATGTGGTCTGAACCCAGGGAGGGACGGCATGAAGCCAAAAGAAGAATCAAGTCAGGGTGGAAAAGGTTCAGTTTGGCAGGGAAATCCTCCTCTGGTCGCTATGACAACGGTCACACCAATATGAACACACTCCATCATGCTTCTTCCCAGTCTTCCCCTGATTTAATGCCCAAAAATGTTTGTAGACAGCTCTCTCCGGTGCTCGGTGTGATGTTTCCACAGTTTTCTGTTTTTTAGTGCCAAAATTATTTATCATCTGAGCTTCTTCAAACACGTAAGCCTGCATGAATTTTGAGAAGATAAGATGTGGGCAGCATCCTTTCATGCTCCCCTTAAGGAAGAATTTTCTTTACCACACAGCATATTTAGTAATAGACACAGAAGTAGTTCAACACAGCAGCACGGTGGCACGGTGGTTAGCACTGTTGCCGCACAGCAAGAACGTCCTGAGTTCAATTCCAACATCAGGCCGGGGTCTTTCTATGTGGAGTTTGCATGTTCTCCCCGTGTTTGCGTGGGTTCCCTCCGGGTACTCCGGCTTCCTCCCACCGTCCAAAGACATGCAGCTTGTGGTTAATTGGATAATCCAAATTGTCACTAGGTGTGAATGTGTGAATGAATGTGAGTGTGAATGGTTGTTTGTCCCTGTGTGTTGGCCCTGCGACAGACTGGCGACCTGTCCAGGGTGTACCCCGCCTCTCGCCCTATGACAGCTGGGATGGGCTCCAGCGCCCCCCGCGACCCTGAAAAGGATAAGCGGAAGCGAATGGATGGATGGATGGATTTGAGCGGCGTAATCTATTGATAGTTTTTTGGCTTTTGAAGTGCAGATGGCTATCGGCACAAATGAGCATCTAAATGGCTGAGTGGAGCACTTGGGGAGCTCTGAGACAGCCAGTGAATGAGAAGGCTCATTGAGACGGGGTGAAGAGGATGCAAACAGTTCCGCATGGTGGCCCGGGTGAGTGCTGGCTGGCACGCTTACAGAAGAGGAGAGTCTCCTCCAGCAGACAATTTTGTCTAATGACTAAAGAACAATTAGCGATGAAAGCAGGATCGGGAGTACCTGTGTGCTCTAGTTTATTACAGCCACCTGTACATGTGGACATGTAACAGGGTGCAGCGTTATTGTACGGAGTGGATCACAGTACACGGATAAGCTCACATTAACATGTCTTACACACCCCCACGTGCACTCGCATACTACAGGTTGAATTAATCGGAATAATAACAATACATTATTGATGACTGTGTCAAAACAGCTGTAGATAGAAGACCAAAAACATACATCTGAAAGGCAAAGAGCAGGATTTCTGTTTATATCTATACTGTATATTGCAGTGCAGTGTCAGTGTGTGTATTAGCATTATTAATCAGTGTTAATAATGTGTGAAGTTGATTAATGTGCTTCACATTGCTGTATGCACGTCAGAGTTACTGCCTATTTCAATTTAAATATGGATGTTTCTAGCCACTGGGTAACCCATAGGAAGATGAAGGACCGTGATATTTTACTGTATCATTATTTATGTTTAATCCATACTTCATACTGATCATTATGTACTCTGTGAAGGGATGACATTTCTAATATTCCCAGATCACAGTTCTGATATATTAATGTTGTTTTATCACTGATACCAAAACAGTGTTTCGATCTTTTTATTAAATGCTTTGCTAGCAGCTCTAAGAGTTAGTACTGCAGCACAGCAGCATTTAAGGAATCACAGGGACAGCTGGGTAATGCTGATGATTAGCAGGTTTGTGTTTAACAGGTTTGCCATTAGAGTTGAGCATGTTAGCAAATTTGGACTAAATGCAAAGTACAGCTGACTTTGATGGGAATGATATTCATTGTCAACCATATAGTTGTGCAAAAGGGAAGTGTCGGAGGGTAACTGGACTCATTAAGATGCATCATCTAGGAATTATACATCTCTGTGAATTGTATCAGTATCTGAAAGTGACGACCTTAACAATTAGGAAAAAATCTATTAAAGACCTGACACAATATCAGAGAGATGCATCAGTTGTTTACTGAGCATTCAGCACAATGGTCTCTGTCAAATGGTGGCTTTCAAGAAGACATTCTGAAGGAAGGGAAACTGGGAGAAAAGGCTGAGGTATCCCACATTACACAAGATCTGGACTAACAGGACTAAACCAATGTCGGCAGGAAGTCAGAAACGATGTACAATAGTGAGTGTCTACAGCCATCTGTAAGACACGGTGGAGGCTCTGTCATGGTTTGGAGCTGTTGTTGGAGAACTTGTCAAAATTGATGCAATTTATCAATCTAGGAAAGTACTTTCAGATTTTGACCCACCATTCAATACCAACTGGGAAGGATGTGAATCGCAATGGCTGCATTTTTCAGCATGACAGTGTAAACACACGGTCAGTGCAGGAACAGCGAATCTGGATAGAAAAGCACACTATCGAACACTGTCAGTCATGGATTGGCCTCCCCGCCTGGACCTCAGCACTATTGAAGCAGTGCGGCATCTCGACAAAGAACACAACGAAAGGCAGTCGACCTCCAAAGAAGAGAAAGGGGACGTCTGGAGAACTATTCCTGAAGACCAATAAGACTACTTTGGGGGATTTCCTTACCTGGATGATTTTGCATACATCAAGATGTTCCTGAAGACTGCCTGAACAAACAACAGGAAAGCTTTCCTAAGATAGTTCAGGCAGTGCTAAAGGATAAGGTGGTCATTTGTCTTACTAGCAAACGTACAATTTATTATTGGAAAAACAAACAAGACCTGATTAAGTTCATCTGCTGTGTGGATAAAACAGTGCAGAGGTTTAACCTACCTGGCTCAAGCTTGTCTTAGATGTTTATATACTGCAGATACTCTGTCAATCATTCAAACCTGTAACCAGTGTTTGTTTCCTATACTGCCTCTGGTTGTCAGCTTATTATACCGACGGTCATGTCAGTCTACTCAAGAAGTTTCACCTCTACCCTCCTGCAGTCGTCCGATCTCGTCTCCTTTCTCCTTCCTTTTCTCATTTTTCCCTCCGCTCCTTGTTTGTATTGTCATTTCTCGCTCCGTTGTGAACCAGAGGTGGTGCAGGGCCAGGAGGAAATGACACGTGTCTGACAGGAAACCGCCCAGGGACCAGACAGGGCAGCTCTCTTTAACTTCGCTCTGCTGCCTGTCCAACACTGCAGTGACACACAGACATGCACAAAGACAAGCAGCCGGTTTTTCTCTCTCTGGTGACCTGAAGCCCAAATTCACATTCTTGTGAATACATACTTAAATTATTTGTTTGGGTTTTTGTCTTTTTTTAAAGCGTCATTGCTGCAGGCAGGACTGGTGAACCACGCATGTATCCCCCACACAGACACACACATAATAATTTCTTGACTTGGTGTGGGCATGACAGCATAGCAGCCACTGACCCACGTTTGAATGTGGTGTTTTTGGGAGGGTTATTTTGGGTGAGTGTATGGGAGTAGTACAGCTGTATTAAAGGAATAAAGAGAGCAATCATGATCAGCACGAGGCCGCGCTGTGTGCCGAGATGATGCGTTGACACAGAAATGGTTTAAAGATGTAATTACACTGAACATCTTTCTCCCGGACAGTAACACTCTTCTTTAGTGACTGGACTGCTGCCACACAGATGGAAGTAACATAAAAATGACAATCCAATTACTCAAACCATTTTCACGCTTGGCCAAATGGCGACAACTGACTTTCTTTTCTCTTTTTTTTTTTTGTATTAAAACAAATGGTTTCTATTTACTGTTCCAGCACTCGTTTGATTTTTCTGCTTCTCAGCTGTAATTCCTGTGTCCCACACACAGAATTCCAGTTTTCCATGATGCTAAAACAAAATGTGTGTATGCATTAGGAATTAGCATACAGGAGGGGCTAGCTTCACTGAAATCACTGCCTTTGAGCAGATGCACAATACTTCAACTCAGTTCACTTTTATTAATTTACAAGCATAACAGCATGTCTTCTGTTTGATGTCAGTGAGAGCAGCATACTAATATGGTCATATCAGGCACATGTCAGCATAGAAGCCACACCCCAGAGTAGAAGCCACACCCACCTGCTGTTCAAACCTTTTGTCTTTGAGGGACAGCCAATCAAAAGAAGCCTGATTTAAAGCGAAGACCATAGGAGTTAAAGTGGCTTGTTTGAGACAGAGGATGGTCTACCAAGTACTAGCTGGAGATGAGATGTTAACTATTTTAACTGGAGCTTGGATTGAGTTTAATTAACCTCTCTTAATCCCGATTTGTTAATTAGAGATTCAGCACGTACGCTTCTATATGCAAACATTATCCTAATCTTGAAGCATAAATGTTATCATAATGGCGAACTGATTTATGGTCAAAGAAATGTTTACTGCACCTTGTTGATCAGTTCTGTCCTTGTAATCTGATGCCACATACTTTTTGCTTGGCTCTTTCAGGTCTTGATGCTCGCTGATGGGGACACGGAGAGTTTCCTGTGCCAGCGCCTGCCCGTCCTCTCCTCCATGTCGCAGCTGCGCGGTGTAGCCACAGCCTACGTCTGTCAGGACTTCACGTGCTCTCTGCCCGTCACCGACCCACAGGAGCTCCGCCGGTTACTCCTGGACGGAACTACAAACACGCAGATAGAATGACAGCTGAATAAACTGACCGAGCATGTTATCCTCAAAAACTGCTCTTCTAAGACCTGCAGCTCAAGCCTAGTTCTTTTTTTGTTGGATGTGGCTAGTGAGTCCGGCTTTGCCATCACTGGATGGCGGTGCTTTAGCAGCTGATGTTGGTAGGGGTAGGGCTAAGGAATCTTGAGGGTGTCGTCCTGCTAGCCATCCCACATCTGTTACTCCAGCCTGTTCTTTATCAGCAATACCAGGTATTACCTCAAATATCAGCTCCAGGTTTTAATTCAAATCAATGTGTAGAAATGCTCAGATGAGCTAAGCAACAGTGGCAATCTGAAAAACCTGTAGCAACTTTGCAAAAAGTTGTAGCTTTACCGTTACCCCAGAAGATCCCTAATAGAGGATAAGCTGAGAGCCCTTTAAATGAACTGGGCCGATAACATTTTGCAGAGGGACCTCTCCGGCATGCGTTCCAGCTCCTGTGTTCACGACACACGGATTTGACAGAGGAGACCTGCCTGGCGGCGGTTGATTTGTGTGTAACCGTGTACATACATTTTAAAAACCATTGCATATGATGCTTTTATCTGTGAGGAGCGAGTCTACTGAAACTGTTGCACAAAAGATCCGCCTTGTGAATGTTGTCTTTACCTTTAGACATCATAAAAAAACAGAGCATGTATATTCACAACCCCCAAATAATAAATCTATTTCTCCTACAAGCAGTGGGTGTTTGATTTTTGGATTGATGCTTCTGTTTTGTTTGAATGTGCTGCGTTATGTAATGCAGCTATAAAGGTGCCCAGAATAAGTGTCATTTTTGTGGTGTTCGTTTTTGTCTGTGACGTCCAAGATGGGGAAATTCCATGAAGGAGTGAGTGAGTCTGTCCCAGCAGCGTTTTTCTTCTCTGTACTATAAATACTCGTACAGAGAGAAGCCGTCAGTTGTGTATTCTCTTGCTGTCTGTTTCCCGCTGTAGGCTGGGCCAATGTAATGTAAACATTGTGTGAAACACTTGGGAGTGTGTGTATTACTGCGTGTGTTTTAGGGAGACACAGATGGACCGCCGATGTCGAGGCAGGCAAGTCTCTGAGGGTCGTCCTCTGGGCTGCGGAAGCAAAGCGAGAAGAAAAAGACGAGAGGAGAAATGCAAAGTTTCCGCAATGGTGGCGGCAGATTCGTGTCCTTCACCTCGCATCCACCGCTGTCCTTTAACAACACGCAGACCATCTGCACTTGTTTACTTTTGTCTCTGTATTTTGTCAGCCAAGTCTCCGCCCTCCCCTCCTTTTTTTCGTGTCACCTTAAGATTGAGGAGGGATCATATTGGCAGACGGCTGCTTCTGTGGAAGAAAAAGTAGCCAAGAGGAAAACAAGGCTGTGGGGAGGAAGAACATGAGGCAGAGGGAGAGAGATTTGAATGAAATGTCCCAGCATCACTTTTCTTAACTTATCAGACTGTGAGCGGTTGTTCTTTCTGTCTGTTGAAACATTTGGATGCTCCTTTTCTTGTATTTCCACACCGCTCTCTCTCGCTTGCTTCCTTCTCCTCCCTTTCCTCTCATCTTCTCCCAGGATTGGACCCTTCTGTCTTGGTGGCATATACACACTGGCCATTCCACTGCTGTGCCATTGGCATTGAAAGCATGTTGGAGCGTCTGTCTCATTTATTGAATCCTAGTCTACAAGTACACACAGTCCCCCTCCTTCCATCACTCCTCTCATTATTGTTCTCCACTAATTGTTTTGATGAGCTGCACAAGCTAAATTTTAATTAGCACTGAGATTAGTGTTTGACCCCAGCTAACCTGACGGCCCGCTAATTATGAAGTTGTAATCTGCATGCCTCAGATCTTAGTCATGATATGAATGATAAACTTGTACATTTTGAGCAGCACCTTTGTAGAAAGAGGCTAAATGGAGTGCATACGCAAAAGGCATGACACAGTAATACAGCTGTGCACATAAAGGAAGAGATGTTTTAATAAGGTTTTTGTTAATCGTTTTTTTGAAAGATATTTTACTCATTTTTAAATAAAAATACTTAATCTGCACTTTTTAATTAAATTTTAATTTAATTTCTATAATATATCACAATTTATGAGATTTAGTTTCAAATCCACAAAAAAAGAAGACTGGTTTCTAAGTCTGCACATACAGAGGGAGGAAACAATTATGTGATCACCTGCTGAATTTGTTAACTTGCTCAGTCACAAAGAAATGAACAGTCTCTAATTTTTATGACAGTTTCATTTTAATAGAGAGAAAGAGAAAGAATATTGACCAAAAATCCAGAAGGAAAAACACATTACATAAAGGTTATGACACAAAGAGCTCCATTCCCACAGTCAAGCACGGAGCTGGAATAACATCTAAAGTCGGGGCTGTTTTTCCACCAAGGGTACGACAACTTCACCGCATTAAGGGGCCAATGGACCAGCATGTGGCGTAAAGATGGGTCTTCTAACATGACTAAAGAAGAAGCCCATTAAAGTTATAGAGTAGGCTAGCCAGTGTCCACACCTCAATCCTATAGAAAATCTTTGGAGGGAGCTTCAAGTTGCTAAGTGATAGCCATGAAAGGATTTAAAGTTTCTGTAAAGAGGAGTTAGCCAAAATCTCACCTGAAATGAATGCACACCTGGTGGTCAACCTCAAGAAATGTCTTCCTGCTCTGCATGCCAACAATGGTTTTTCCAACAAAAATGTTCACGCGATGTCATGCACATTGCTCAAAAGTTGCATGCTGTTTTGCCCATGATACAGCCACCAGTTGCTAGCTTAAAATGCATATTCCTCGACTGTTTGGCAGTGGTTCTTGTAGGCTTCCTAGAGAGTCTCTCACTGCAGCAAAAACCTCCTAGTCCTTATCTAGTCAAGTCATCTTTATTTATATAGCACATTTAAAAGACATCAAGTGTCGGCCAAAGTGCTGAACAGAGGGATAATATAATTAAAAAGAGTTAAAATAGATAAGATGAAAACATTATAAGACATCCATGTATGTTTGTAAAAAATATGTGTACATGCAAATATGCACATACATGTACAAAAATGTACACATTCACACATAAGCACACATACGTGAACATAAAATACATGTATACGTATATACACATTTCCACAGTTGCCTGTAGATGTTCATGTTTATCTGTAAATAATTGCTAACAACTAGCCTAGCAACAGTAAAAATCTGAGCTAGCAAAGGGCTACAAAAAGGTTTGTAGGACTGGGGCTCACATTGTTGCCATGATTGTCGCACATCCAAAATGACAGATAAGTTAACGTCATGTGGTTAGCGGTTGCATGTCTGCAACCACTTAATAAAAGGGTCGAGCTGCATTGTGGAACAATTTAAAATTGAGTGTTTTATTGGTATGTTTTTTAACCAAATGCTATATAAAGAGAGTTGTGAACCTGTAAATATTTTTAACCAGTCTAGCCTCCTAAAAGGTTTATTAGAGCAGGTGACATGCCTCTCCACTGATAAAAGCTGATAAAAGTTTGGATATGAACATGAAGATGGTAAGACCAAGCAGAGCTGAAACCATCTCAAAGATCCTGTTGGAAAATATGATGATGTACATTGCTGCCATAGTTGCGTTTCCTGTTTTGAATGCGATTTGCATTTTCCAAATGTTTAGAGAGAATTGATGTATATCCTACATTTTGTGTGGGTTGGATGTAAACAATGAAGTGAAGCTAAAATTATAGAGCTGTATTTGTCTTGTTATATAATTCCTTATTATTTAGCGTGCATGTGTTTCGTGACTCCGTTCTGGTTTTTGAACGGACATTAAGTGTGTGGAACGATCTGTGTTTTAGATGAAAGCAAGTGTCTGTAAAACAAGGCTCTCTCAGGTTATGTGTGTCTGTGTGTGTGTGCGTGTGCTGTTGTCCTTGCTATCAGACATGGCTGCTGTGTTTCAGTCTGTGTTATAATGAGGCCACAGGGGGCCGGGAACAGCAACACACCAACTTGGAGGAAAGGAGGAACATTCAGCAGAGGGGGAGGTGTTGCGTACTTTCTGTCACCCAGCTCACGAGTCTTAAGGTTTTCTCTCCACTCCTGATGTGTTCTTACAGGACATTTCATTTCTCAAACTGTTTAAGATGCTTTGTTTAAAAGGAAAAGAAAAATCTTTGAGAAAAAACTTTCTTTTTAATAAAAATAAAAATGTTGTTGTCACTTGTAAATAATTAGATACGTGCATTGTGTGTTTATGTGAATCTGTGAAAACACTTCAGATATCTGAAATATGGAATCAACACTGTAAATGTGTGTGTGTGTGTGTGTGTGTGTGTGTGTGTGTGTGTGTGTGTGTGTGTGTGTGTGTGTGTGTGTGTGAGAGAGACAGTCAAAACAGGTATCACAACACTGGAACTTGTCTGATAAGACCTAAACCTCCTGGAGAAAATCAGTACCGCTTATCAGCCCAGGCTGGTACTTTGTTGATTACACAAAGCAAAAATAGAGTTAAACTGGGAGAGCAGGGTCCCAAGGATTCAAACGAGCTGATGCACCATTATTTCACACTACAAGGGAAGTTGCTGAGGTGCTAAGGTTGAGCAGGTAGGGGGGCTATAGCTCAGGCAGCAGGCGGAGCAGGTCATTTACTAACCTGGAAGGTTGGTGTTTTGATTCCGAGCTGCTCCAGTCTGTTTGCCAGAGTATCCTGATGCAAAAGGTGTCTTTGTACAAAATACTGAGCCCTGAGTTGCTTAATGTGTTCTCATTGGAGTATGAATGTAGAAAAGCACTATATAAGAACCAGATCATGTGCCAAGTGAGGTGGACTTGAAAGTTAGTGTTTTTTAACTAATAAAGCTAATACAAAAGATTTTAACGCATTAAAATGAAGTTCATTTATTTAAGTACAATCAAAGACTGCAGCAATCCATCTAATGCTTTGGATGTGTTGCCAGGAGAAAGTTTTTTTTTCTCTTTAAATTCGGTTCAGTACTTCTTTGCTATTCCAGTTTCCATATTTGCTTCTAATTTTTCGTCTTTCAGTGCTGTCTGGATTTCCATGACTTCCTTTTGTTTGCAATTTCAGTTTCCTGGTTCACTTTTACATTTTCTGTCTTTGCTTCTTGGATTTCTTTTTTGGCCTCCTTGAGCTTTCTCTGGAATTCCATCAGTTCTTTTTTTGCGATTTCAGTTTGCATCTTTGCCTGTTTTTATTTCCTTGTCCTCTACTTCCAATTCAGTCTGCATTTCCATCAGTCCCATCTTTGCTTCTTCGGGTTTCAGTTCTGCTACCTCAGCTTGCAGTTGTGCAATTTCAGTTGCATGTTTTGCTGCTTCACTTGCTTTCACTTGCTTCTGGATCTCTTTTTTCTTCTCTCCCAGCACTCTCTAAACTTCTATCATTTGTTTCTTTGTCATTTCTGTTGCCTTCCCTACTGTTTCATTTTCCTCCTTTGCCTTCTGTATTTCCTCTTCCAGAGCTCACTGGACTTTTCAGTCCCTCATTTTCAGTTTTGCCTATTCAGTTGTCTTCTTTGCTGTTTCCTTTTCCCTCTTTGCTTACTGCATGTTTCCCCTTTCTAGTGCTCTCTGCCTTTCCCTCGTTGCCATTTTTGCCTTTTCAGTTTCTTTGTTTGCCTTCTTCATTTTCTTTTTCTTCTCATCAAGAGCTCCCTGGAACGCCATCAATTGATTCAATGTATTTTCTGGCTCTTTCTTTGCTTCTTTGTTTTCCTTCATTTCTAAAGTTT